GCTGCAGCACTGTTTGCAAATATGAGTGCTTCTGATTTCCGTCCTTCTCTAGATTCATTCATGTTGCTGCAGGTGGCGTTCTTTCATTCTTTTTTACGGCTGGATCCCCGGTGGCTCAGAGGCTAAAGCATCTGCCTGCAATGTGGGAGACCTGGGTTCGATCCCTGGATCAGGAAGATCCCCTGGAGAAGGAAATGGCAACCCTCTCCAGTATGGACGGAGGAGCCTGTTAAGAGTCGGGCACGACTGAGCGACTTCACTTAATACTCCATTGTATATATGTACCACAGCTTCTTTATCAAGTCATCTGTTGATGGATGTTTAGGCTGCTTCCACGCTCTGGAACTTGTAAATAGTGCTGAAATGAACACTGGGGTGCATGTATTTTATCAAATTATGATTTTCTCCAGATATATGCCCAGGAGTGGGATTGCTGGATCACAAGGTAGCTCTATTTTCAGTTTAAATAGAGCCTCAGGATTTTTCATTCTCTCATGTCTCCCTTAGCGAAGTCACACCATGTCTGCTAGAAAAGACCTTAAATAAATGTCTCCCTATGGTGCTTTCTGGGAGCAGTCTGTAATACTTCATTATGTTTCCAGAGAATAATCAGAAACTAAACTTGAGACGTAGAGAGGAAAGAGATTGAGGATGATCTTTGGTGTTTGGACACAAGGCTATTTTGTGAGAATTTTCAACAGAAACTTGCAAAATGCAAACCAGTAACTGAGATGCATCTTGTGAGTTTCAACTGGTTTCATACCCCAGTTTTCACCAGCTCCTTCCCCCTGTTGAGACGCTTATCATCTTCTGTGCCCTCACTTTGGGTCTTTGTGTAAACACACTCCTCGATCTTTCACAACACTAAACATTGAAACATATACCAAAGTGCCTTTTTTTGGTGGGGGCAAAATTATCAAGATGAGTTTTAACCATGCCTCTGCCTGAAGGAGGAGATAACAGTGCTAACATTCCTCCCACCGCATGTGTTTCCTCCTTCTGGAGGCACATCTGTCCACACTCTTCACTCACTCATCATCCGGCTTCCTCTTTGACAAGCAAAATTTCTTCTCTCTGATATACACTCGGTTTATTTTCCCAAACTCCAAAGAAATTTGCTTTCAGATCCCATCTGGACAATTGTTTTCTCAAACTGAATGCTCAGGTCACTTAAATATGCACGAATCTACATATTGCAAATTGAAAATTGCTATCTCTTCAGGGTATTTTCTGACACTCCCAAAGGTATCTCAGTCTCTCTCTCTCTCTCTGACACACACACACAGACACACACACACACACACACACGCACGCACACACGCACGTGCGCATATGCTCAAGAGCAAACAAGGATAGAGGTCAAAGAGCAAATTTCTTCCTCTTCTCAATGTTACATAAGTTATCCACGCCAATTCAATGAGAGAAAAAAGTGTGAGGACAGATAGTGATCTTTTTTATAATTTATATTTTTATTTATTTTTGGCTCCGCTGGGTCTTTGTTACTGCAAGGGTGTTTCTCCAGCTGCGGTGAGTGAGGACTATTCTCCAGTTGCGGTGTGGATTAGTCATTGCAGAGGCCTCTCTTGTTGCAGAGCGTGGGCACTTGCGTTTCAGTAGTTGTGGCTTATGGCCTCACTGTTGGTGGCTCACAGGCTCCAGAGCACAGGCTCAGTAGTTGTGAAACGTGGGCTTAGTTGCTCTGTGGCGTGTGGGGTCGTCCCGGACCAGGGATCAAACAGCGTCTCCTACGCTGGCAGGTGGATTCTTTACCACTGAGCCACCAGGCAGGCCCTGTACTGACCTTTAAAAAAGAAATGAAATTGCTTTCATTTGTAGATGTAAAAAAGAGCAAGATGTAAAGATGAACACAATAAAGGAAAACATTATATAGTCAAAAAGAATAAAATAAGACCTGAAGAGCAAAATATAAATAATATCATTTATTATATTAATATTAGTAATATTTCAATTCCCACCATATTGGTCTATGATTTTTAGATCAAAGTTGCAAAATATTTTAGAGCTTTATAATAGGAAATGTAGAATTAATGAAAAATGATACTGCAAATGTTACTGTAAATACATTTCCTTCCACTGAAATCTATTCACCAATGGTTTGGTTTGTATATGATATTTAAAATAAAGTTGCAACATATTTTAGAACTTTATAATAGGAAAAGTAGAATTAATAAAAAATGATAATACGAATGTTACTGTAAATACGTTTCCTTCCACTGGTCTATTCACCAATGGTTCGGTTCACTGGATCAGACTCCTCACCAACCTTCTTCTCTTTACTCCTTCCAAATCACTCTGCATTGCGACTACAATGATATTCCTAAATTCCAAGTAAGTACATGACCTGTCCGTCTTTGTTCATTGTTGTGTTGGTAAATATTTAACAACTGGCTTTCTAGGGTTGGTGGGTGGAACTTGGCCCTGGGCAGGAAGGAATCCACCTGCAATGTAGGATCTTCAATCCCTGGGTCAGGAAGACCCCCTGGAGGAGGGAATGACACCCACTCCAGTGTTCTTGGCTGGAGATGCCATGGACAGAGGAGCCTGGCGGGCTGCAGTCCACTGGCTCTTGAAGAGGCGGACACAGGTGAGTGACTAAGCACACACGCACATGATATGAACAGTTTCACCACAGCCTGCTCCAAGCCAACAAAGTTGTGTTCATCTCACTGAAAATGGAAAGTCAGCACTCTCAAGGCAATGCGAGCCAGTTCAACAGCAATGCATCGGTTTCAGCTGCTCTGTTTCTCTTTCAGGAAGGCTTTCCTCGGGCCCGCTACCGCAGAGAGGGAGTGAGAACAAAGGCCCCTGCCTGCTCTCGCCCTGAGGAAGGGGCAAGCTCATTCCTTGCCCGGGGGGAAGGCAGCAGTCCGTCCACGGGTCAACCTGGAGAGGTGCGTAGGGGGTGCTGTGTGCAGGGGCATGCACAGTACCTTGCTTGCTGTTCTGTCTCGTCTCCTGCAAGGCACACACTTCTCTCTCCAAACTGAGGTCTTGCCGTCTGCCCCTCACGCATCAAAGTCAGACACACTAAAGCCTCTGGTTTGTTCCCGGAATATCCCCAATTCTCTCCTGCTTAGAGGCTTTTGCATATGTCCAGCTTCTTTCTTTTTCCCTTCATCATGCCAACTCCCAATCATCTTTAGGATTTCAGTTTAGGGGACCTCCCTGGAGGCCCAGTGGCCATGACTCCACCCTCCCAATGCAAGGACCTGGGTTCGATCCCTCGTCAGGGAAGTAGATCCCATGAGCCAAGACTTCCTATGCCACAGCTAAAGATCTCACATGCTGAAACGAATACCCAGCACAGCCAAATAAGTAAATAAAGTTTTTAATGTTTCTGAAGAAAAAAATCTCAGTTTAGGAGAAATGTCTACTCCCCAAAATTGTCATTTTCATCTCTTTAACCTGGATTAGAAACTATGAGCTTCCAAAGATTCCTACACTCTTCCTATCACAGCCCTTAGGGCTCCATGTTATAATGGTATGTTCCTGTGGGTCTGTATCTCCCACAAAGAGCAACTAGAGAACAGAGACTGTGGCTCACTGGCTATTGTATGCAGAGCACATGGCACATAGTAGGCACTTTCCGGATAATTGTTCAATGGATTGAAAAAAGAAACAAATTATATTTAGTGTGTATATATGCATTTCTTCATAAATTATGTGTATTTTACATATATGTATTCTCTGGAGAGGCAAGAATTGTTAGTAGAGAAGACTATGGAAAAACCCTCGCACACATGGCAAGCAGGGAGCTAAAAGGACCTTGTAGGTGTGACTTCATGGACACTGTGGATGGTTCAGTTCCCTCTCAAGGGAGGAAAATTAATTTATAAAGCAGAAATGTAAGTCCGGCAGCAGTAGATATACAAATCTGGAGCCAGAGATATCAAAAAGAACACCAAATTGCTACCTGAGAAGATGGTCATGGATGTCACTGGAGGGAATGCGAGGAGCCACAATGGAAGTGTGAGGATTTCTGCTGTCTTTAATGACGCCTGTCTGACCACCATCCACTCAGCCTTCACGGCACAAAAGGCCCACCCCCATCACCAGCATCGTTATCAAACAGCTGTGATTCTATTCTCACATCTGCTTTATTTTTACTTAATCTGCATAACAATGAATAAGACAGTTGGTACTGTGATACCTATTTTACAGATGAGAAAAAAATAGATCAGAGAGATTAAGTTCGCACAGCATCAGAATTTGCACTCAGGTTTGTGAGATTCTAAAGCCTTAATTCTTTCTTCTCTGCATTACAGCTTCTCACTGCCCTTTGAAGGACAAATATTGATTTCGCTCTCAAAGACCCCCATCTAAGGCATCATTTTTGTATCCAGACATGTGTGAATTTCAGCAGCTAATTGAAAAAAAAAAAAAAGAAGGCTTCAAGACTTGACCCTTCTACCTCAAATATAGTAAAAATTTATCTTAATGTTATTTTGGTGATTTTTGGGGACAGTTTTTGCAATGTTGGTGTCAACTAAAGTCAAGAAACATTTTTCCGTAATGGAAAAACATCTCACTCATTTTTCCTTCTCACTGGGTGGTTGGAAGTTGGAGTTTAGAAAGAATTAGGAAATAGGAAATATAGGAATAGGAAGAATTCTATTCCTATAGAATATAGGAAATATTCTATATAGGAATATAGAATATAGAAAATATAGGAAATAGGAAGTATTCTCCGTGCCTTTTTTAAACCTTAGAAGACAATGAAGCAGGCAGGTGAGAAGACAGAGAACTGATTTCTGGGAACAATTTTAGCATGGTCATCATAGCAGTTACAAAAGAAAGGATGCCTAGAGAAGCACAGTTGTCCTGCCATTCCCAGGACTTTTGAGGGAGTTTATAGTCAGGACAGAAAGGACTGAGTTGAATGTCCAAGTTTCTCACGACGGGCACCACGATAGTAGAGACGTGGTTCACAGGCTCGTGTTCTCTTGAGTTCCTGGACGGAGCACTGACTCACTGGAGATTTAAGACTGAATTTCCTTGCTTTCATTAGGAGGCATTCTTGATTCCCCAGGATCGGGAAAGGAGGAAATTGCCTGGAAAGTAAAACAACATCAAATTCCAGGAACAGGATCAACACAGCCCTCTCCTTCCATTCCTTCCTATTATCATCATGATCAATGCCAACAATACTCATTCACTGATTATCACTGTGTTCAAATATTATATACATAGTCCTTACAGCAAGCATTAGAAATGAACAAAAACAGTATTTGTTGGCTGAGTCCTTTCACTATTCACCTGAGACTATCACATTGTTAACTGGCTATATGCCAATGCAAAATAAAACGTTTTAAGAAAAAAAATGGACAAGAACATTTTCATTTTACAGTTAAGATAGCTAAAATCCAGAAAGAATTTGTGGTTTTTCCTGGAAATATAACTAGAAAGTAACAAGTTTAAAAAGTAATAATTTAATTCTATCCATGTGAAACACATATGCTCCTATTTAGAAATGATATGACCAATAAGGAATTAGTATCCAACATGTATAAATAGCTCATACAACTCAACATCAAAAGAAAAAAAAAACAACACTAAGAAATGGGCAGAAGAACTGTGTAGACATTTTTCCAAACAGGAAATACAAATGACCAACAGGCACGTAGAAAGATACTCAACATCACTAATCATCAGGGACATGCAAATCATAACCACAACGAGATATCACCTCACGCCTGTCAGAATGACTATTATCAAAAAGTCTGTAAATAACAAATGTGGATGAGGATGTGGAGAAAGGGAAACCCTCCTACACCCTACACTGTTGCTGGGAAGGTAAACTTGTACAGCCACTGTGGAAAACAGTATGGAGGTTTCTCAAAGAAATAAAAACAGACCCACCATGATTCAGCAGTTCCAGTCCTGCATATACAGCCCCCAAAACCCAAAATGCTAATTCAAAGAGATACATGCACTCTAATGCTCACAGCAGCATCATTTACAATTACCAAGATGTGGAAGCTACATAAGTGTCCATCAACAGATGAATGGAGAAAGAACATACAGAGATATTCATATGGCTATATTCATACCCACAGATACTTATATACAGTATAGATATATTCACTGGAATACTACTCAACCATAAAAAGGAATAAAATTTTGCCATTTTGCAGCCACATGGATGGAATTGGAGGACATCATGCTAAGTGAGATAAGTCAGACAGAGACGGATAATGCTGCATGATATCACATACGTGGAATCTAGGAAATACAACAAACAAATGAAAATAAGAAACCAAGAAGCAGACTCACAGATGTACAGAACAAACTAGTGGTTGTCAGTGGGGAGGGAAGGACAGGTTAGATAGAGGTGAGGGAATGGGAGGTACAAACTCTTGGGTGTAATAGAGGCTCAAGGATGAATTATACAGCTCAGGGAATATAGCCAATATTTTGCAACAACTATAAAATGAATGTCATCTTTAAACATTATATAAAAAGTAAAAATTAATTTTAAAAAAGTATGCTCTGAAAGATGAAATACACTGCTTCCTCTTGTATTTTTAGGTTAGAATTCTTTTCCAACCTTCATGCCAAGTCTAACATTTGTACGAGCTATAACTCCAGGAACCCCACAAGTCATTTCTCTCCAGTTCCAGAAGTCAGGGACAATCTCAAACCCTAGAGGGAGGGTGCAGATCATGTGAATTGTAAGTCATTTAAACAAACCCACCTTTCTTAAATGACAGCAGTTTGCTTTGAGCCACAAGACTGCAACAGAGCAGGCTATGCACAGTTCCAGCAAGACCAGGACCAGCATCAGTGACACAAGACCCTGGGGGATGTGATGCTGCATATTAAATCCAGTAGAAACGTTCAGAGAAAAAAGAAAGGCCAGCAGGATACCAAACTATAACACCTACCCTCCATAAAACAGGTCAAAGTGAATCACAAATTAGGTTTAATACATTGCCACACCCCAACAGTCTACATGAGAAACAAGGTCCGTCTTGTGTAAACCTTTTTCCTGGAAAGAGAGACATATCGTACTTCTGTATCAACCCATGTGAAACAGCTCTAGAGGGAAAAAGTGCTGACATTACCATTAACATCTACCAGCTGGAATAGTGGTAAACCCAGGAGATGTATGGGCAGCTTAGGAAAACGGACAAAAGGGACCCTTTCATCAGTTCTTTAATTGTACTTCCTAGAGGTTTAGGCATTTGCAGTATTCCTACAAACTAAAATAGTAAAGCTGAAAAGTGAAACACAAAATTACTGGACTAGTGATCCTTCTACTGTCACTGAGGCACCTAGAAGAAACAAACGCTAATCCCTCTGGAGAGAAAATACTTCCAAAATCCACACATACTCACAAAATCAAACCCATACAAATACAAACTTAGATTATTAAAAATATAATGGAGAAAGTTAGGACTCAGACTTCCATGAATATTATCAGCAAACAGGAAGATTAAGTCAGTAAAAAACAGTTCACAAATCATGGGAAAGTAAAAATTTGGAGGAAAATATTAATTTCTCACTTGACTGTAGAAGAGGGAGAACACATAAACACAAACCAAAAAAACACTTTGGAAAGGCTATTAAAAATTTTCCCTTTTAAAATACCACATTCAAATAAATTCAAAAGTGAAGTCGTTCAAAGCTTCAGTGAGTCACTATTTGAAAATTCCAGACCACAGAGAAAATTGTAAATCTCCCAAGTTAGTTTCATTAGGAATACTGTGAAATAAAACGTTAAAAATGCAGTCTCTCTGGGGAATGTAACAGTGTCAGTAGCACTGGGTTGCATGCATGCCAAGTCGCTTCAGTCCTGTCTGAATCTTTGCAGCCCTGTGAACGGTAGCCCGCCAGGCTCCTCTGTTCATGGGATTCTCTAGGCAAGAACACTGGAGTGAGTTGCCCTGCCCTCCCCCAGGGGCTTCCCGACCCAGAGGTCACAGCTGCATCTCACATCCCCTGCAGTGACTGGTAGGTTCTTTACCGCAGGTACCACCTGGAAAGCCCACCAGCAGTAGCCGCAGTATGTAATAATAGTCTAATACAGTATGCATTGTGTTAGTTACTCATCACATATTAATTCATATAATCTTTATATGTAATACATTTAATAATTTAATCTATTACTATCCTCATTTCAGTGACGGTAAAGTTGAAACACAAAGAGGTTATCTTATTTGCTCCTTCAAGTCAAAGCTACTAAGTGGTAGAACCAAGATTCACATCCAGGCAGCATGGTGCCTGATACATTAGTTAGCTCCTCTATGCTTTGGATTGTTGAAGTTCTTCATAATTATACATAATTTTAACAGACATACGGTTGAAGAGGCTTCCATGTAAATGCACAGGTCAGGTGGCTGGGAAAGCTGGCAGCCATTGAGTAATAGCTCGAGAGCATATAAATTCATGGAGAGATAAACAGTCCCGACTATAGCAATGGCGGCGCTGGAAATGTGCATCCCAAAGCTGGTCTCCAACTGCAAGAGAAGAGGTCACAGCTTCACACAGGCCACACACGCTGGTTCCTGCGGCCGCAGTCCATCCAAGCAAACAGCCATTGAGGGGTTCACACGCCCGACTGTAGCCTGGGGGACCCAAGATGCTCCACCCAAGACTCGGGGTCTCGGCCGGGCTCCCCAGCCTTTGTTCTCCCGCTGCTAGCGGAGGCCTTCTTCCTGCCCCTCTGAGCACAGAGGGAGAGCCGAACGGCCACTTACCAGTGTTTTTGTGGGTTTTTTCCCGGCTGAGACAGCTAAAATTCCCGAAACAAGAAACTGTGTGAAAATAGGAAGTGAAGCAGAGAAAGGAACATGAAGTCTTAATTATCAGATAACTAGCAGCAGTTGAACAAAACTTCTCAAATTCACATTCTAGAACACAAAATAACACTTGATTTTGCTCATTATTTATACATTTTAAAGTACAATTTTAATGAGTACAATTGTACAATTAAGTACAATTTTAAATGAGTTTAAATTTTGCATAAATGTGTAAGACTTTCATTTTGTTTTGTATCTGGCCTTTTACAGGTTATATGGGTGTGCCTGGTTTTACATAAAACAATACACATATTCAATGTAATATAATTATCTTTATGCTTGTGTTTACATTAAATGTAAATAATATTTATTTACACATGCATGTATATTTAATATCATTCTCATATTCTTACCCAAGCTTCAGATAATGTGTTTTATTGGACTAGGTGTTCCAAAAAAACTTTTATACATCTAAATGTCTATATGGACATATCTACTAATGTTTAAATTAGCATTTTGGTCTATTATTTCTATGAGTCTAATTTTGATCAAGGAAATTCTCTACATGTTCATGGCTTTCTCAAAACTCCGATCTATTCTTTGCCTCAAAAATTTCACATTTACCAAGCCACTCCTAAAATTTGAGGGAAAAGCTGTCAAAGTACATTTCTAGTAGTGGTAGCTAAGAAACGATATGCAGTCAGTGGAATTTGAATACTCACAAATATAGCCCCCCATATGTAAAAACCTGTGTGAACAATCGAGAAAAACAAGTAATCGGAGGGTTGGGGAAAGTTTTGTAAGGAATGAATGAAGCCACCCAGAGCCAGAATTACTGCTGCATTCAGGATCTGTACAGCCTGCAAAAGGAGGGAATAAGAGAAAGCATCAATGATCACGTGCCGGCCCACACTGGGGAGAGATCGCCTTATTTATCTTTATTTCCTCTTTCCCATCATGGTTTACTACAGGATATTGAACATAGACCCCGAGCTCTGCACTAGGACCTTGTTTACCCCTCCTACATATATATTAACGTAATAGTTTGCATCTGCTCATCCCAACTCCCAATTCATCCCTCCCCAGCTCCCACCCCTCTGTCAGTCACAAATCTGTCTGTGTCTGCTGCTGTCTCTTAGATAAGCTCATTCGTGTCATGTTTTAGATCCCACACGTAAGTGATATCATATGGTATCTGGAGAAGAGATCACTTTAATTTTCCTCAAAAAGGAGATACCAGAGCTTGAAATGGTCCAAAACTGAAGCCAGATTAACTGGGCGAGGTTTGCTCTGGAAGGCTTCTGTTCCTGCGATGCCCACTGATCCGATAGCAACACTTCATCGCCCTCTCTGCCCAGCCCACCGTGTGCATCCTCACAGAGCCCTCCAGTAAACCACAGCGTGAAGGAGGTGACAGACTGTGAAACTAGCCTCCCCGCCTGCCTTGGGGCCACAGTACGGTGACCTCCATTCTCCAGCAGTGATAGGATGTCTCCCACTGTGAGATTATGCCTCTGCGTTTCCACTCTTCAGGTTTAAAGGATGCCCCCGTCTTCCCTTAAAGCACATTATCGATCCAGCAATGAGTAGCTCAGAAATCCCCATAGAGACATAACCAAGGTTCCCCATGCGAGAGTTGTCGCCTTCCACCTTAAAGAAATGTGTTACCTGAGGCTGACTTACCCCGAGAACTTGCAGCACCTCCGGGTGGTTCTGTGACCTGCCGAGGGGCCGGTAGGCAGAGCTGTCCTCCCCCGCGGCGCCCCCCTGGCTTCTTGGGGCATCGCCAGCACAAGCTGCCCCCGGCTCTATCCGATCAACTTCTTGGGAGGCCATCTGGGGTCTTGGTGGCTGTCAGAGAAAAGAAACCCAAAGTGTTTCTGTTTTTCCTTTTATTGCTAACTAATAACTGCTTTCTGTTTTCAGTTCAACCAAAGGGTTCCATTTTGTCTAGAAATCAAAACAACTCTCCACCAACAGGGCGGAGGTTTTACCTCATTTATCCCATTTGATATTGAAGTAGTAGGCATCGCAGACCGTTACACTAGGCCTGGGCACAGCACCCCACTCTGGAGCGCTGCAGACTGTCCCTCTCTCTTTCACGGGCATGCGTGTGTTACGTGGTCCTGCCTCTCTTCAGTCCAGGACATCCACACATGAAACAGTCTCACTGAGCAGTGATCTCTCATGGGAGGAGGCTAACATTAGTCACATTCTAGAATAATAACAGGTGGCATTTATTGAATGTTCACTGCTCTGTGCCAAGCTCTTCTAGTTTCTGTGACTTTATTAACGTATTCAATCCCGTCAACAGCTTCATGTTGCAACACTATTATCCCCATTTTAAAAATGAGAAAACTGAGGCGTAGACAGCTTACACAACTTTCTCAAACTTAAATAGCTCGTAAGTGAGTTCAGATTCTACTTGAGATATCCACTTTAATGTTCAACACTTTTAAAGTCATTGCTTTATGTAGCAATATATGGAATAAAGCACAATGGATAGAGTTTAAGTACCATGGGGAAGCCAGGTGCAAATCCAAATTTGACCGCTTATTAGTTGTATGACCCCATAGTGGGAATCTCAGTTTTCACAACTGTAAAATGGACATAATTTTAATTTCATATTAACATTGCAAAGTCCATTGCATTAAAACATTTCATTAAATTCATTCAAAAACATTGCATTAAAAAATTTCCATTGGGAAATAAGTATATACTTTGGATAGAATATTTGACTTGCTGAAACATATGTAGTGTGGCTTCCCACGTGGCACAGTGGTAAAGAATCCACCTGCCAATGCAGGAGGTTCAGGAGATGGCTTGATCCCTGGGTCAGGAAGATGCCCCTGGAGGAGGAAATGGCAACCCACTCCAGTATTCTTGCTTGAAAACTCCCATGGACAGAGGAACCTGGCGGGTTGCATTCCATGGGGTCGCAAAGAGGTGGACACAACTGATCACAAACACATACAAAGCATGTGTGTCTGCATGTTTGTGTGTCCATGCATACATTTTCCCAAAGAAATAGCTGCATAATTATGTGCAGCACTTTTTTACTATGGCATCACAGTAACAGTCACACTCTAAGGGGAAGGCATCCTCACAGTTAAATGTTTAGCAACCGAACAAAAGACCCTGAAGACATTCTAAGCACCGCACTGGGTGGCAACTTTGACAGACAATAAAAAAAAGTGGACTTCCTGTGGAGAGGGAATCTCTTTTTTTATTAACTTTTGTTGGAGGATAGTTGCTTACAATGCTGTGTTAGTTTCTAGGGCACAGCACAGAGAATCAGCTATTTGTATACATATATCCCCTCTTTTTGGATTTCCTTCACCACAGAGCCCTGAGTTCCCTGGGCTATAAGTAGGTTCTCACTAGCTATCGCTTTGCAAAACAGTAATAGAGGCGCAGACGCAGAGAACAAGCACATGGACACAATGAGAGGGCATCTATAGTATTTACCTTGGAGGCTTCAGACCTGGGTCAAATTATTTTCTCTCAAGCGTATCTCATTACAAGCAGGAGACACGCAATAAAGATCGCTTATGGTACCCTTCCCGGAAAACAGCAGCCTCTTTTAGCTCAGGCTTGATGCAAGACTTTGCTTTACACCACACTTTAGAGGAGTCAATATTTTGCCAATATTTTGTTGGTGGCCTGCAGAGTGTGCAAACCACATCTGGGTCTGTGGCCCCTTGGATTTCACTGTGCTTTCCTGAAGGGTAAGTGTTGATTGGGACACTGGTCCTAACTGTCTTCCAGCTTTGAGATGTTGCTTAATACATTATTAGAACCAGAAACACCAGCAGAAACATGGGCAGATGGGTGGGAAGGTTTGAGGATTGGCGGTAGGACAGTTGTTTGCACAGTAAGAAGAGACATCACCGACTCAGCAGGCATGAATTTGAGCAAACTCTGGGAGATAGTGAAGGACAGGGAAGCCTGGCGTGCTGCAGTCCATGGGATCTCAGAGTTGGACATGACAGCGACTGAACAAGAGACAAAATCAGATTATAAGAGTAGTATTGATGGCGTAGGTGATTCAGTACTTAACCCCCTGAGGGGATTGCAAATAGAAAAAATAAGGGAGACCCGTAAGAAATGATTACTCAAGAAAGTAGGTTTGCTTAACCACAGAACCAAGCAGGCTTGCTTGGCAACAAAAGTGTGAAACAGAAGCCTAAGACACGCCCTCAAACAGTAAAACAGTGGTGGCCTGAGACCCACATCCTGCCCAGCCAGCTCGGTAAGTTAGGATCCCGAGGACAAGCTCTCTGCACACAGAAAAAAACAATAATTTATGGAAAGGTGGCGTTTCAAAGTGACAGAGGCTCATTATACCAAGACCTGAAATAATTTCTCTACCGTGCCATGACTGTCGTAGCCTGACCACGTAGGGAGAAGAAAACTCCCTGGCCCAGCCTGGAGGGGGAGCCGATGATGGAAGTGTGACATCTACTCAAGAAGGAGGAAGAAAGAGGCTCTTTTCCCCTCTCCATTTGTCCTTTGGTGGTAAAATTGTAGCCCATTAAAGTTCTCAGGGTGCAGCTCCCTGTCACTCACCTGCTTTAAACCTCACACGTGCCCTGTTCTAATAAATCACTTATCTGTCACTTTGCACTCACTGAATTCTTTCTGTGTTGAGACAGAAAGGACTAGAGCTCTTCGGAGGCCCCTCAAAATGCTGCTGAGCAGCTTCAGTGTCTGGAGTGGGGAGGGCGCTCGTGTTCATTATCACGCTCAGTTCACGCAAGCTTAGAATGGTTGTTTAGTTCAGACACATAGGTGTAAAAATGACGCAGTTGTAGTTTAAATGCATTTAATGATTACTAGGTAGCAGACACTGTTCTCAGTGCTTCACATGGATTCATTCCTTTCTTTTTCACAATACCTGGGTCTTCTAGGTTACCATTAACCCAGTTTTATAGAAAAGGATGGCACAGAAGGGGGCTTGAGGTTTGGGTTCGATCCCTGGGTCGGGCAGAAGATCCCCTGGAGGAGGAAATGGCAACCCACCCCAGTGTTTTCACCTGGAGAATCCCCACGGACGGAGGAGCCTGGAGGGCTACCGTCCACCGGGTCGCAAAAACAGTCAGACATGACTGAGCGACCAAACAACCGAAAACCGGCGTAGAAACGTCAGCCAGCTTTCCCAGCATCACGCGGGGACCGGTCAAGCTGTGTGCAGAACTCGGGCTCTGGGCGTAGCGAGGTCACGGGCCTGCCTCTTCTCCCTGCGGGGGCTTGCTTTCACCGCCTTCGCCCCTCAGAAGCGTCCCTGTTTAGAAGGCAAATTGTCACCCTAAACGAATAAATGTCCTGACGTTGGCGATGGGAAGATTAGAACAAAGAGAGAGGGAGGACCCCAAACACGGCCCCTAAGGAGGTCCCGGGACCCGAGGGGCCGGCGCGGGACTGCGGTGGCGTCCCTGACCCCCAGGCTGGGCAGGGGGTCTGCGAGAAAGAGGAAGCTCACAGCCACCTAGGCAAGGCCCTAGTTCTAGAAACTGGGGACAAGTGGGGAGCTGGCCACGGGCAGGAGCAAGCGGGCCCGATGCCCTCACCGAGGACCGGCTTGGGAAGGGGCTCGTGGCCCTGGGACACCGGCTCTAACGTGAGCAGGGGCCCAGCGCCGGGAAAGCGCTCTCTATGGAGCTCTGTGGCTGGGCTGTGAGGGGCAGAGTGCTTCCTGCCCCGGCAGTAAGCCAAGGGTGTCACGGAGGCTGCAGCCGCCGCTGATGGCGAGCTGGTGAGGCGCGAGGGTACTCAGGACGGGAGAACACAGGCTAGTGGCCCAGAGGGGGGCGGGGCGCACCGAAGGGATGATTCCAGTGAGCCCAGACTCTTGCATCTTCTCACACCTGGAAAAGCGCTAAATGCCTTGGCTTGAGATATCTGGCTCTCCTTTAATTAACAACCATCTTCTGGCATGCAGACTCCCTGCCCTTTGCTGCAAAACTTCTGCATAACGTGGCTTCCCCTCCCCTCCTGCCTCTTTGGAGCGGTTTTCTCAGGGTTGCTTGAGACGTTGCCTCCCGGGCTTGAAGTCCTAAAAATTCCCATCAAATAGAACATAACTCAACTTTCAGGCTGTGAATATTTTTCAAGTCGACAGCTGCCCATAGAGGCCAGGGCAGGGGTTCTGAAGGAGCTGCCTGGGACCGAAGGGAAGGCCTGAACAAAGGAAGACCAAACGGGAATCATAAAGAGACGCGGAAACAATGGTTGGGAAAGCCGCGACCTCCCTGCCTCCTATTGACCAGGGCCACTGCGAAGAGAATACTGAAGAAAAAAGAAGGGGCAAAAGTGCCATGAAGGAGGGAGAGGAAGAGTTATGAGGAAGCAAACCTCCCAAAATCGGTTCCTTTAACACACCCGTTTAAATTCGGAGCTGTAGAAAGAGCTCCTAAAGGAAGTTATGTAAACAACAGGAGCTCAGTCATCTCCTTTGTGAATTTCAGATCCTAGTGCCCACTTCAGAGAACAATTATCAGGATTAGAGACAGAATGCACACAGAGGTCTTAGCAGCTAAGCCCTTCATGTGCACGCTCAATAAATGATGAAAATGAGAAACTTCTTCAATTTCTTAGAGAGAAGGACTATAGGAAACTGCTTCCCAAAGAAGATTCACAGAGATTTCCTCCCCTGGGGTACAACTTCCCCTAACTGCAACAAGAAGTGTTTTCGAAGAGGCTGGCTAGAGTTTGGTGCTGAAATATCATAATAAGTAAACAAGTTCAAAATTCAAGTTGCTAATTTTTGAAATGAAAAAATAAATCTTTATGTGAGTAAAGTCAACAGTCTAGTTGTTCATTTACAAGGGACCATAGCAGACTATTTGGAA